GAAAGACACAATTTATCACTGGTTTATCTACTTGGACCCATCTGTACAGATACTTATCCCTGCGCTCTTGTTTACCTCACCCCGTTTTCACTTTCTTCTGAAAGGGAGTCAAATTTAGGGTCCGAAAAGGTTTACACAATGATTTAAAGGAAATTATGGTAAACTCTGTGTGACTTCATAAGGTTTATTGATAAACACCAAATTTGTTATTATAAGGTTTAAGGCAAAACAATAAACTAGGTATTAAGCTCGTTTTTGCTGCGCAAGTAGTAAATAAAATGATGGTAAATCTTCATGTTTTAAGACGAATTGAAAGAAATTGTATTAAATTTTACTTTTATTAAAAGGATCTAATGCTAAACTCGAAATGAAATTGACATTAGCCACTTAAGTACTTAATAAACATATGCTTAAGGCCAGGGATTAAATAAAATTGTGGTCAAAAATAAAATGGAAGTTTAAACATTAGTAATGCTTGTAAGTAGCTATCACCAGAAACCTGCTCACAAACACACATCCCCAAGGCACTTCAAAGGATACTTTTATCTTAAGTAAAACCAAAAGCAAAAAGAAAACGGAAAATAAAATGGGCATAGACCAAGCAAGTAGCACTTGAATTCCCGAAGTGCTTGGCTACTTCCAGAAAAGAATGTGTGTGTGGTCACTACAGTGGGTCGACAAAGAAACTAGCACAGATTAGTTTTTATGTTGAAGTTCCTTTTTGCGAGGAACGAAGGCAACAAGAAGAGTACTAACTAGCAGAAAATTGAGTATTTGCACAGCCATTGTTATTGGATAATTACAGGGAATGCGATGCATACCGAAAGGATACGTGCACGAACATATATTATATATGAGGTGGAAGAGAAAGTAGAAAGGATGGAAGAGCACTTCTAAGTAACTATACACACACAAAAGTGCTAAAGGAAGATGAAAGGAGGTGAAAGCAATAATTTTTACAGACTTCCTATTTAAAATAGTACGGTTTTTTCTCAGGTTATCTGTGTTCGCTTTTGATGTCGCCTTTACGCGCCTTCTTTACCGAATGCCTTATATAACTCTTACATTAGAAAAGTCTGATAATTCCGATCTAGCCCCAGCTAGAAATTGATCAAGGAAGGTCAAGCTTAAGATCAACCAACCTTTTGCGTCCTCATAACGGGATGTCACATTTAGAAAGGATTATCAGTCTCGATCTAGAATCTCGGCTGGACCTTCGTGAACGCAGTTCAAGCTGGAGGTCGAACTAGAGGCCAATTGAGGTATCAGTCAACCCGCCACRGCAATGAGACCGCCGTTATCTTGTAAGAATTAAAATTTTAATTGGAATTTTTCTCAATGTGAGCGACACAGTTTGAGGCAAAATTGCAAACAATAAGCATGTGAACACATACTTATTTACTTTTTTGAGTAAATGAATGAAAGTTACACCGTAGCTTAAATACAAAGTTCCTTACAAGAACGCGCTCAAAATTTCAAATCGATTTTTTAAAAAMTAAGGGACTAGTTAGCGTATATATATGATAAATAAAGAAGGGTAGGCAGGCATGACTAAATCCACTCTGCTAGTTGAGCTGATCAGTTAGGCGATATATATTTTTTAGGGTTTGAAATATTTGAAAGTCGKGCATATAATAATTTGTTAAACATGAGTGACTTCTGTGGATCTGTGGATCGACTGATACTTAAAATTCATAAAAAATTAGTTTCAATTGCAATTGGGACTCTCCATTCCTTTAGGTTTCTCCAGAAATCTTAAAGAACTAGCTAACATCAAGGGTTATAAATACAATAACTTTACAACTTTCAAAAATAATAATCCTTAACTGCTGCAAGATTTCCAATTATTCAAAATTTGGACCTATAGCAGGTCAAAACTAACAAAGCGATTCTATCASAGATACTACAGATTGATTCCTTACATGAACCGTTAACTTTGGTACTCTATTTGCTGTCCGCGTCTAAAAGTATGCTTTAGGATTTAAAACTATTCATATCGAGTAAAGGCAGGCGGATGTTCGAAAATCCTGATATTGGTTATATAGGAGCTTTCTAAGTTTTCGTCCAAATTTATCTATTTTAGGCACAAAGATACACTGTTATGAATAAAACACGCTCTCTTATTTTCATTGCAACTCGCAYATTGGCCGATATGCGGTACAAAGTGATTGGAAGTTCGAATATTTTTATATTAGGTATATGCGGCTAAGGGAAGTACAAGGGCGTTCCAAAGTAAACAGGACGAATGGTTTTTCCGACAAAATCAATTTATTTAATTCAAAATAGTCTCCTTCTTCTTCAATACAGCTTTYTGTACTGTCTAAAAGCACGTCGAACGAGCGTTTTAGCTCATTGGCCGGTATGACCGCCAGTATGCCGGTGTAAGCCCCTTAAAGGGCCTCTACGTCTGCATAACGCTTTCCTTTCATGGGCAGAACARGAAGAAGTCGCACGATACCACATCACGTGAATACGGTCAGTGGTTAATGATTAAAATGTGAATTTTGGTCAAATAATCGGTCACAAGCGTCGTTTGAATGTTGCATTTTAAGTAATTTTTGGTCGTCAATCCATTTGTGCGGAACAAGCCGTGCACACACCTTTCGTAAGGTCAAATGTTCGATGAAAATGCGATAAATCGATGTTTGGGAGATGTTCAATTCCATTTCCATTAATTTCAATAATTATTTCGGCTGATTTTTGATGAATTAACGCACAGTTTCGATGGAATTTCCGGTGATCACRGATTTTGATTGGCCCACATGTTGATCGTCATTTATGTGCTCACGACCACTTTGAAAGCGTTGAAACTACTCTGCTACGGGATGGGCAATCATCGGCGTAAATTTGTTCATCAATTGAAAAGTTTCGGTAAGAGTTTTACCAATTTTAAAACAAAATTTAATGTTGGCTCTTTGTTCAAACTCATTTTCGCACCGACAACACAAACATACTGACACTTAAAACGCAATAACTTCACTTTCAATCGATGAAATGTCAGGAAATTCTTACTGAACTAGAATCAAAAAGTCCTGTTTACTTTGGAACGCGCCTTGTTTTACCCCGTCATTTCAATTATATAATATATCTCACACATTAACCTACATTTTCGATCAAAAATTAACTATAGGTCCTGGGGTTTACATATTCGCTACCTAGGATCTTGAACAGTTTTGGTTGACTTTGAATAATTTTTTTGTCATCATTTGGCATACACTAAATGTATTATTCGTGCAAAGTGAACAGCAACTGAACGAATTAAGAGGAGTTGTGCTATATGGGAAGTAGGCGTGGCTGTTGACTGATTTCGTCCTTTTTGACACCTTTGGTTTTTATAAGATACTTACTCAGCAAATTTGGTTATTATTGCTCTGGTGAAGCTGAATTTAATATTTTTTTTATTTTTGGTTCCGCCTGAGATTGCGAGGGCAGAGTTTTCAAAGCTCTTTGCATGTAGAATTCCTGCATGCTCCAAAGTGAGTTTTATGATGATTTAATGAATTGCATTTTCGGTTAGGTGTCGTATAAAACCTCTGGAACGGGTGAAAAGACCTCGCTTGTTGGGTATTAGGCGCAATGGAAACTATGTCAACAGAAGCTCTAGAAGTTATCCTCGGCACCCGCCCAATTTCTTTAGTCAAACTCGACGTCACTACGGACATCTTATCATACTTCACGTTAATAAACTTGGGAGTGCCACCGAGAAAAGAAGACCCATGTGAAAGTAAACACAAAGTTTCTTTCTACAAATCTACATATTCGCAGACAAAATAAAGCGTGAAATAGGAAAAGGTGCGGGCTTCTTTTGTAGTCAACTATACGAAGAAAGTAACTTCAAACTAAGCGACTATGATTCAGTCTTTCAGGCCAAAACAGAAAACCCAATTCTCTAAACCTTCTAGTGGATAACAAAGTGCGAATTAAGGCGCTAGCCAATACTAAGTCTCACTGTGTTAGCTTATGTAAGCAGGCAACTCAGTTAATATCATCTGGGCTCCAAGTCATGTAGGAATAATAAATAACGAAAAAGCAGACAAGTTACTTGGCTCGGGGCAGCTGGCAACACAATTCCCTCAAGTTGCTCTAGATTCATTCATTCTGGTTCTTCAAAGATTGTTTGAAGCAATGGACCCTAGAGGAACACGTCGGGCCTGGGAGCACGAGTAATACGGGGCATGCCACAAAGCCATTTTGTGGTAGTGATGAAGGCGGACAGAGCAAAAGGGTACTTCTTCTAGGCAAAAGGGAACTGATTAATATTGTAGGGATCATACCAGGGCACCTATTCTTAAGATCCCACCTTAAGAAAAGTGGGTTCGTCGAAATGCAGTATATGTGCGGAGGATGGTGAGCCGTTGCAACGACACTTACGCACTGATCAGACGGGTTATATTCCACGGCTCACAATACTCCAACTTAAGACCCATTGGGTAGCTGGAGTGAAAAAAAAACTGTTTCTTTACCTAGTGGGGATTCTCAACTAACCAACAGCCTCTTCAAACTTCTCTCGTTTGTGGAAAGAATCCGTCAAGCTGCTATCTTTAGCAAATGTCTTCTATTCGTAGAAACAGTTGATGTATTTTCCTGTATTTCTGTTAGTTTCCTGTACTACAAACGCACTAGTTAATACATTGAATGCAAAATTAAAACGCCAATTGAGTTTCGATTAAGAATTTCATTACCCCACAATTAAGCTGCACACATACTCATCAAAGCGGCGAATAAGGATGGTCAAATGAATGGATACATATAGTACATATGTGAATGTTGAAGTTGAACTTGTTAACGCTCTGATGTTCATATGGGTCTGGCCAGACCCATTCGATCTTTAAATGTATGTAGATATTTTATTTTTAATATCTGAAGCTTCTTAGTCCATGACTTCCTAAAATGTAGTGTGCTTATCCACTGCCCATTACCGTCAAAGCACCGATCCATTGAAAGGATTCAAGCCAGATCAAATTTTGGACTGCAATAAATTTAAAGCGGGGGTAGATACAATGGATCAAATGTTGACTGGCTATTCGTGCAAACGCTCGACAAACCGTTGGCCACTGGCAATATTTTATAATATGCTGGATATTGCCGGTTTGGCCTCATTCATCATCTATGACGAGCTGAATCCGGCAAAGCAGAGTGATAAGAGGCGCTCATTTATCATTGAATTGGCACGGCAGCTAGTTATTCCACATATGACGAAACGGGCGACTAACCCATTAGTATGGAGGTTTGCTCATATAAGACAAGCAATGAATCTTTTCAATATCAAGGTGAGTATGAATTATATACACACCTACATATATCTCCACGTATAAAGATATGTGTATGCATGTATTCATATTTACTAATTTAAAATAAATTATTTCGCTGCTTTTAGGCACCGGAATCTTGTCCATCGACATCAGATGCAACACAGCAACAATCATATGCTCAAGTTGCTTCAAAACGGTCATCGTGCTACCAATGTGCTGCTTCTTCTTCGAAAAAGCGACGTAAAACTCGTTATAACTGCAGCAAATGTAATCGTCCCATATATCTTAATGAACATTCCATGCAACTATATAGTTGTAAACCCAATTGCTCTTCGTAATTAATACTAATCCGTTAAAATAAATAAATAAAATTATTTTTAAAACCGTATTTCTAACAATATTTTTATGGGTCTGGGCAGACCCTTATAATGCACTTACCGCATCATAGGCACCAAACATCGGAGGGTTAATGCCTTTAGTGCTCTTTTGTTACTTAGGCTCTACCATTCTTATTGTTGTTTTACGCTCTGCCTTTCCCCGTCTCTAGTAACGGATCTGTTCAGTTTTTCTTCTATTTTAGTAGCCTCGTCAGCTGCATATATGTTTGCTGTTTTAGCAGCCATTTTAAAAATAACCATACATCGGAGGAGCCACACCAGCGCCCTTACATACTCACGCACACACACCCGGCACGTACATGCTTGTATATTTACAAACTTACCACTTGCATGTAATGACTGCTGTTACTTTTGCTTCAAAACTAGCAATTTTTCTAAGATTTCGTCATTTGCTTTTGCCTTAGTTGCTTCAGTTAATGTCTGAGTCGGTCAATTCGCACTGGTCAGTCGTTAATGCCTCAGGCGCTTAGTGAGTGAAATAGTGTTTGTTTTTGTTGCTGAAATTTGGTAAGTTTATATTGAAACGTAAAAGAAATGTTTAGGTCATCCAAAAGTCATTATTGGCATTTTCGTGTTCCTTTCACTGGAATGAAGAAGACCCAATTCTATTTTCCGGAGGAGAAACATGGGCGATGTCGAACCAAGATGAAAAAGCAATTGAAGTAGTTGAATTTTATAATAATTGAAGAGCTTTACTCAAAGCTTATTTAGTGACTCCACAAGGTCATCAGTACTCTCTAAAATCAAGGAATGTGGGGTTTTTTTTTGAGTTTTCTGGTTATTTGTTTTTGAGTGAATTATTAGTAGAATTTTTATAGAAATTTTCCAAGCCAACACTGGCTATACATTCGGCCGGAATCATGTCTACAGTTGGGGCATATTTTTTGGTACATCCGACCGTTCCTCAAAGAACGAAAAATTCAATAGAGTACTTTTCTTTCTTCTCAAACTATTGCGGGGATATTATGCCTTCATGCTGATGAAAGTAAATGTGGCAGCCGCCAAGTAACTAACTGAGTAGCCAGGCAACAAAACGACGAAACAGCCAAGCATCCAAGTTAAAGCAATTTACTCGTAGTCAAAGCATTCAGCCAGTTGCATTTTCTTGAACATATCTACCAAACGAGCAACAACAACTGCAAATATTTTAGAAATTTCTTAGATATTTATTTCCGCTAGATTTTTGCTATTGTATTTGCCGACTCGCATTACTTTCAGCAGGGATAATAATTAAGCGCGTGCTTCACAGAGCTTCCAACGTTTGCATACTGTAACGGAAAGTCCGGGCTGGTGAGTTGATGTTGCTCATTGCGCTTTTTGTTTCAATTGTTTTTAATATAATTTTTTTAAGCCGAATAAGATCAGCTCAGATAGTTCCAAGCAAATCACTTACAGTAAAGTAGAGGATCCAGCAATAGAGAGATATAAATTGAGGTTTACACATCGACCTAGATCTATCCTTCTCTCTGTCCTTCTCTCTCTGTTGATAAGGTGTAATCCCTATTCGGATACATCGATCCATGGGCCTTAATCTTGTCTGCAGACACAGAATCGGCAGTCGATTAGACCCATTGGTGCTTCTTGAGCTTGCAGTGCCCAGTGTAAAATGCGATGTTTAGCCGGAATTGGTCTCTCAGAAAGTTGAACATATCTTTAAGCCTTACCACTCATTAGCAACTTTACTTACAGTTGCTTAAGCTGTTGCAATAGTCATATCCACATAATGCTTTCACCGAAGAGTGGAATTCAGAGTTATTTCTAAGTCTCTGCCGCCAAGGATAAGTTCCTAAGTACTGACACCAAGACCTGCTTTTGGTAAAGATTTGGTGGTCTAGCTATACATGAGACTTAAGGCTTGTAATTTGTGGATATGCTCCATATTAACTTAGCAAGGAAGGTTTTTCAAGACTCCTAAAAATCCAATCCTTAGACAGCCTTCAGACCATATCGAATCAATTTCCTGATCAAGGATTTTCACAGGGTTCGAAGTATGTTAAGGGACTTAACAGCATTTGTTCTCCTTACAGAAAAATCGAGATAGTAATATCTCCTTATTAATGTGTAAAGCAGTTTAAATCCAAAATATTCAATTATTGGGTATGCGAGTATGTCAGTCTGAAATTTCTGTAGGTTAAGGGCTCGGTATGTTTTTTGAGAGAAATACTTTTTTTTGAAAAATATAACTAAGCTGTGTCTTAATGGAGGCTATGAAATTTGATATAAGATTATTTTATAGTTGGTTCTGAAAAAATCACTTTAGGTGAGATCACATGATGTAATATGATAAATTATGGTTCTGACTTATAAGATTTTGATGTAGAGTAATGTGCTGTTAAAAGGCGATATATAATGCGGTATTATTTTTTGGATATGATATGACTTTGTGATATGAAGTATTGATGCAAGATTTCGTATTTTGGGGCTTGACGTTAAAAAGTTCGTAGTTTTGTTGCCTAATAAATAAATAGCATATAATTTCATATGATATGATGTGATATAATGATGAAAGGAAACTAAGTAAAAAAAGTTAAATGAGAAATCGTAATTTACTTTTAATGCTGAAAAATTTACCTGATATTTTAATTAGTTTATCTGGCACTAAAAAAATATTGTTGGATGGTAACCATACAATTGGAGACAATTTTTGTGACTTGAGACGATTTTGCAATTCAGTACGTGACAGTCACAAACGTTTCTCAATTGAAAATGAACAGGCTCTTAGATTTCACAATTTCGACATGCTTTTACATTGAACGAAAACAAATATGTCGAAAGGAAATATTATATTTTCTAAAAAATATAGTAGTGAAAAAGCCTAATTACT